TGTGCAATGTGTTCAGCAGAGGATCCTGACTTGCCTCAGTGGTGGGTGTTTGAATTGAGCAGAAGAAGTAACCCCTAGGTGCATTGTTAGGATTCAGCTTGCTTTTTCCTGTCCCAACACTTTAAAATCATTATTTTGGAGTCACTGGGCCTTTCCTTGGCACACGTGCATCATACCATTTCATAATGATTCTTGCTGTGGCGTCCTGTCTGCTTCATGAATCTCAGTGCAGGCTTGGGACCAACTGAGAACTGACAGTGGGTTACCGTGTTTCAGGGCTGGTCATGAAGTTCTCCAGGATTGTATACTGTACCAGATGGTGTTTCAGGGCTAGTCATAAGGTTCTCACTGGCCAATTGTTTGCGAAGTGGTTGGCTCCGTCCTTCTTCCCAGTCTGTCTTAGTCTGGAAGCTCCACTGAACCCTGCCCACGATGGGTGACCCTGCAGGCATTTGACATACCAGTGGCACAGCCTCCAGCCTCACAGCAACACGCAAGCCACCACATGATGACAAACTGACAGATGAGGAAAAGCGAAAAGCCAACAGCCGAACTAGCATTCCGCGTTGGTTTTGCAGCTAAAGATGCAGCATGCACCACGAGCATGGTGTTGCCAGGCTCCTTCCAGAAACTGTACTCAGCATCTTGGCATCAAGCCGCCATAGGTCTGAAATGTGGCTGTGAACACTGTATGTCAGTGTTTTAGGTTTTCAGCATTATTTGTATAGTTTGGTAGATTGTTTTAGGTCTGGGAGCACTCACAAAATTTTCTCATATAAATGAATGCCAATTGTGTCTTCACACTATTTGGTTGTAGGACAGGTTTCACGGGAACGCTCTACTTCCAGATAGCAGGGAATACCTGTGTGAGGGAGCTATTCCAAATGGCACAAAATATTGTTAATACTCACTTTTTTAAGGTTATCATCAGAATGAAGCCAAACCTAAAACAGAAGGAAACTTTCCTGTCCTTGTGGACACCCAGTTCTCTCTCCTTTGCTTCCTGAGCAGGACAATCAAATTTCATTTTCCGTTTTGAGATCCCAGCTGATGCTCAGCGAACCGTGGTGACCTTCTCAGGCTCACACAGTGGTGGTTGGTGGCAGGGGAGGATTAGAACCCGAATCTGCTGTTCTTAGTAATGTCTGGCACACATTCCACTGCAGTTTGTCAACTGTGAGGAATTGTACTCCGCCTTGTGTTACAGGCTTTCTTGGATTAGTTTGGGAAATCTGTACGAATGCGGTATTGCTACAAGGCAATATATTTTAGGTTGAAGCAGCAGTTAACCAAGGCCCCTTGAATGTATTAGGAGTGTAAATAGGGTGACTCGCTGTCTGACTTGACCTGGGTTTCTTGGGGACACAGGATTTTTGAGTGCTGAAGCCGCTTGTTCGACAAAACGTGAATACATGCTTGCTCAGAGCCCAAGCTCTGCCCTTGTAGGAGGGGCAGTGTTTGATTTGCTGCATTGAGTTTTTCCCCCAGTTTACCTGTTGCTTGCAGAACTTTGTTTTCAAAACACATCCACACCTTCCACTGGATGGTTATGCACAATTTTGTTACTCACTTCTTTTGGCGAAAGTCAGAGGCCTGCCTGTTAGATGGTTGTCTGTAATTCCTTGCTGCCATCTAGTGGCTACATGCAGTA